GGCGGCTCAGTCAGTTAGGCGTGCGACTCTTGATTTTGTTGTGATCTCACAGTTCATGAGTTCGAGCCCCACGTCGGGCTTTGCGATCACGGTGTGGAGCCTGCTTGGGATTCTCTCTCTCCCTCTCTCTCTCTGCTCCTTCCTCACTCTCTCTCTCTAAAATAAATAAATAGACTTAAAAAATAATTACAGTGTTTATTAGTTGTTGTTAATCTCTTACTGTGCCTAACTTGTTTTCTTCCTTCCTTCCTTCCTTCCTTCCTTCCTTCCTTCCTTCCTTCCTTCCTCCCTTTCTCTCTCTCTTCCTTCCTCCTTCCTTTTTTCCTTCCTTCCTCCTTCCTTTTTTCCTTCCTTCCTCCTTCCTTCCTTCCTTCCTTCCTTCCTTCCTTCCTTCCTTCCTTGGCACTATATCCAGCATGGCGCCCAACACAGGGCCTGAAACGACCCTGAGATCAAGACCCGAGCTGAGATCAAGAGTCGGACGCTTAACCAACTGAGCCACCCAGGCGCCCCTACTATGCCTAATTTGTAATTTAAGTGTTTATCATAGGTATGTTTGTATAGGAAAAAATACTATATATAGGGGTTTGTATTATCCACAATTTCAGGCACCCACTGGGGGTCTTGGAATGTATCCCCTGCAGAGACATTATACATTCATGTATAACATAAAATGTATCATCTTTACTATTTAAAAAAAAAATTTTTTTTTAACGTTTATTTATTTTTGAGACAGAGAGAGACAGAGCATGAACGAGGGAGGGTCAGAAAGAGGGAGACACAGAATCTGAAACAGGCTCCAGGCTCTGAGCTGTCAGCACCGAGCCCGACGCGGGGCTCGAACTCATGGACCGCGAGATCGTGACCTGAGCCGAAGTCGGCCGCTTAACCGACTGAGCCACCCAGGCGCCCCTCATCTTTACTATTTTTAAGTGTACGGTAATGTTGAGCATATTCAAGGTCTCCAGAACTTTCCCATCTTGCAAGGTTGAAAGTCTGTACCCATTAAACAACCACTCCCCATTTTCTCTTCCCCCAGGCCCTGGCAGCCACCATTCTTTCTGTCTCTGAACCTGACTGTATACTTCATAAGCAGAATCATACCATATTTTCCCTGCGGTGAATGGCTTATTTTGCGTAGCGTAATGTCCTCAAGTCAAACTGTATCTCTCAACTGAGAATCTGTTGCTCTGCCCAAGCAGGGCGATTATTATTACGATTATTTTACAAAGCACTCATCCGAAGTGGCCAGCTCATTGCATTTTTACACACATTAATACTGTGTCCGGGCACCAGGGGCAACTGTCTGTTCTCCCTGTGATTCTGACTCCTGTCTTTTGAGAAATGCTGGATTCTAGGCACGGCAGGATGCGGAGAGGCACTTGTGGACGGCGGCTGGTGACCTTGCCTCGTCTCTGTTGCTTCTTTTCACTGGGCACTGGCTGGGGAGGTCCCCAAATCCCTCACCTCCAGGATTTAAATCCAGGTGGGACCCTTGGCGACCAAGCTCTGAGAATGGGCTTCTTCAGAGGCCAAGGAGCAGAGAGGAGGAGGGAGATGGGTAAGGAGCCTTAGTTTCTGGATCTGTGAAATGGGGATAAATGCCAGTCTTGCAAGGCTGTTGTGGGGGATGACAGGGGTAGTGTCCCTGCGAGGGTCCAGGTATGCAAGAGATTCCCCCTTCCACATGGCAGGCTTCTCTGGGGTGCTGGTTACGCCGGGCGTTCAGCGTGTAAACTTTTCCTGATCCCTACGCTTGTGATTGTCCGCTTGTAAAAATTAGTGCCCTTTCCCTCCTCCCACAGATAGACTGTGGTGCCTCAGGGTCTCAGGCAGCTTTCCCCATGTCTGCACACAGGGCGGGGGCAGGACCGGGTCTCCACATATTGGAGGATGAGGTCCACGCCAGGGCGCCCACCTCAGCACCCTTCTGTGGTGTTCCTCTGCCCCCTGGTGGTGGGAGGGGACCTCAGAAGAGGCACACTCCCAAGTGGGACCCTCCCTCCCTGCAGGGCGCTTTGTGCCTGGATTCTTGCCTTCTTGCCCACTTCAGCCAGGCTGGGAAGGGTTGACTAGGGTCCAGAAGGCTCGGCCTGGGCTGGGGGTGGGGAACACACGTAGGGGTG